CTTTAGTGTAATTATTTAAATACTTTATGACTCTTCATTCTCTTTAGAAAAATATTATTCCTAGTACTGTTTTTGGTTTATACTATATAGTTGACTAAATTTATGAAATATTTTTAAATATTGAGTTAATTCAAAAGGAAAAAAGGTCTTTTAAATAGCCATAGGGGAAAGAATTGACCTTGATCCTTATCTCATTTGATACACAAAGATTAATTTAAGAAGTATCATAGACATAAAGAAAAAGTCAAAGAGTAATAAAACTTTTAGAAGGAAACATAAGAAACTATCTTTGAGACCTTAGAGTATTTCATAAAACACAAAAAATACAAACCATAGAAGAAAATGTTGGTAAGTTTAATCAAAATTAGAAATTTCTGTTCATCAAAAGACACCATTAAGAAAATGAATAAGCAATTCATGGATCAAGAAGAAAATAATTTATCATGCATATGTCTGACAAAAGACTTGTATCTAGAGTATGTAAATAAACAGTAAAAAAGACTACAATAAAAATGTACAAAAACTTGAACACTTCACAAAAATGATACTTAAATGAACCATTAGCACATGAAAAAGTGTTTGCTCACTATCAGAAATACAAATTAAAACCACAAAGTGATACCATTCCCACCCACTGGAGTAGCTGAATAACAATAACAAAACAGAATGGCTAAAAACAAAACCACAACGATTTAAACAACAGTAAAGTTTGGTGAGGATGAAACAGCTGCAACTCTCAGATTCAAAATGTTACAAACACTTTGGAGAACTGTTTAGCTTTTATTTCATATAAAGAAAATATTTTTATAATCTAGTGATTCCATTCCTAGATTGCCAAAGAAATAAAATTTATAGCCACAAAAAGACATATACAAGAATGTTCTTAGCAACTTAATTCGTAATAGCTCCAAACTGGAAATAACCTTAATGTCCTTCAACAGGAGAGCATAGAAACAAATTCTGGAATATTTATACAAAGGAATACTATTCAACAATAAAGAGACACACTACTACCACACAACAACATAGATCATCTCACAAATACATAGAGAAAAAAGCAAAACACAAAAGTTAAGTATTTAATTTACATGAAGTACAATAGGCAAAACTATCTGATTATAGGAATTAGAAAACGGTTGACTCTGGACTAGGGAATGGGAATTGAGTGAAAGGGATACAAAAGAACCTTCAAAGATTATTGAAATGTTCTATATCTTGGGTGATGGTTGTATCAGTGTATACAGTTGTGAGACTCATCAAGCTGAACCCTTAAGATCTGTGCATTTTACTGTATGTAAATCATACTTCAATAAACAAATATATGAGGTGAATTTCACTTTATATTCTGAAAAATTTGAGGATATATGAAGTGATTGGAAACATGAAAACATTTCATTAAAAACTTGAAGATTGCAATGCAAAGAGTAATAGTGATATCTTTAATATTAATATTTTATTATCAAAATTGTGAAACAGTAATAAGCACAAATAAAAACACTAGTGTGTCAACTTTTTAGCCAATGTGTTCTTTTATTTTTCCTATTAAAATTTTTTCTTTGAGAATAAGATTTATATATCATGAAATTCACAGGCTTGAGTGTACAATTCAATGAGTTTTAATGAATCTATCCCCCATGTATCAAACACCCAATCAAGAAATAGAACATTTCCATTACTATGATTCTAATATTTTGCTTATATTCTTTCCTGCTATCCCTGTAAGATCACAAGATAAATGCAAAATTCTTTTGCTCTCCATACTACCATTAAAAATAACAGCAAAACTCCAACATTATTTGAAACATTAAGGATGATAATTGTGGCAGCTGATAAGAAGTTAGTTGATTTGTAGGACTCTTAGGCCCAAATTGTGAAAAGTCCTTGAGACAGCTAGTATTTAGAGTTTTCTAATATAAATTCCATAGTTAGTATAGTAATGAATAATAATGTCTTAGGTGAGACATTCCAATAACCTAATTGGTATAAGGTAATAAAGAATTCTCTCTCTTAAGCTGCCCTAATTTTTCTTTTTGTTCCTGACTGTCCAAATACCTACAGTATCTGTTTGAAATAATTCAGTGATAGCATAGGCTAGTAGTTCATAATAATAATAGCAGATTCTTTATATCATATTTCATCTTGAAAGAGCTCTTAGTACTTTCTAGACTGTTTATAATAGGTAAGAATCAATAAAATACAAGTACCTTTTTTGGTAAAATACGCTCTAAACAAGGTGACAAAGCAAGCTGTAATGTGTGAAAGATATGGAAGGAGAATGTCATATATATTTGAAATTATGGAAAGAACACTCATTTCTTTCTTTTTTTAACACAGAAAAATCAATGCCCAAATTTTAGTTTTAGTAATGTGCAGGTTTGACCTCCTTACAAAAAGTACAAGGACATTTGGGCTGATCATAGCATCTTTTTTTTTTAATAGTTGTGTTAAAATATCTCTACGGATTCAGTAAATATTACAAGCAGTTGTAAGTATATAACTAGTTGTGACTTACCTGATTTCTATTTCCTTACATTTTGTTTGCATCCTGAATGCTCTTCCTTCTCTAGCCAAATCTGTTCCTTTCATATTTTTTCCCTCTGTTTTTCTAAAGGATCGGGTAGGTAGCACTTATAATTGCTGAGTGAAAAGACTGCCAGACTTCTCAATTAGTAGCCCAGTCTTCTCTCAAATCCCAGTTTTAATTCTTCCTGTTGTGGGAGGCTAATGAGTAGGCCAGGTCCTTCGATGTTTTGGGGATAGTAGGGTGGAAATTCTTAAGTGGATTCCAAGATCACTTGCAAGCATCTTCAGGGTTTAAAAATTAGAGGACCTTGGTAAAACCTTGAGGGGAAAAACAAACTTAGAGAAGTAAGATTATGCTTTTGTGTACATCAATAGGCAGATATATAAAACTGTGTTGTTTTCTGGGAAATATTTAGTGGGACAGTAGGGAAAGGTAAATTTGCATTTTCCTCTCTACATATAGTAATTGTAGACAGAAATTCTTCTTTTTAACCAACACAGATGACCAAAAAAAGAAAACAAAAGAGAAGCCTTAGTACTTTTTAAGGTGAGGGGAAACACACACACACACACATGTGCACACATGCACACACAAACATTTTATGGAGCCTAGAAAATTGTTTTCAAGGAGAAATGTATGATCTATAGTTGCAATGTTTAGATATTTGGCAATTGGAAAAAATAATGTTTTGGTGAAAATAGGAAAACAGATTGACATAAATGTACATTAGGGTATGACTTTCATTTCTTGTACATACACAGTGAAATAGTTATGGGCAATAAATTCTTGGAAAAATAGGGTAAGATTGGATAAATGTCATAGTTTATGACTAAAAACTCAAGATGGAGAGGTAATAATAACCACCTGATAAAGAGACTTAAAATCCGTTCACCCTTAAAAAAAGATTGCTTTAGAGTTATAACTTGATGTAATAGTTTGATTTTTTTTAAAGATTTTTTTTACATTTGTGGCTTTTGTGGATACATAAAATAAAGAATGAAATGCCTTTTGTTCCCCCAATGCAAAGAAGTATTTATTACTTAAAATATTAACTGTAAAAAAAAATTGATGCTATAGAATCTAGAACTAATACCAAGATTATTGAGAAAAGTACACAGACACCATTTCTGCCATGGTGCCTTAAAAATAAATAATACTTGACAGTGGTGAATTATATAACTATATCAAGTCAGCTACCAAGCTAGTTTAATTCTACAGTGTTGGCAACATATGAGCCTGTGGGCCTTTTCTTGATCCCCCAAATCTATCCTGTGCTTTTTCACCTCCAAGATTTCAGGTTTTTCATACTTTCTGTTTTCTTATCTAAGCCTTATCCTTCTTCTTCACAAGAATCCTTCTCTGAGGTGTCTACAGCCCACTTTGATTTTTTCTGTCCAAATTTCTGTAGTACCCATACTACCATAATAGCTCTTCTCTGCCATTTATGAGGCCAGAAGAGTTTGTTGTTTCTTTGTATACATTTGTTAGCAAATGCTGTGTGATCAGTAAGTGTTATAAAAAACAAGTTTAAAGGGAATTCAGGAAACAAGCAATTAATGGTGAATGGGAACCTAAACCAAAGAAAGAATTATCCTGGGGAAGATAAGAAAGAAGTATTCCAATCTAGGATCACAGAATGAGCAAAAGCCCAAATGTGCATAGCTGAAGTGACTACAACTACAGGTATCATTTAATAATGGATGAATGAACTAAAGAACAAATGAATATATTCTGAGTAGAGTGGCTTGGCCAACTTTATTGGACTGTTACTTTTAAGTTATACATTCATGATATAATTTTGAGTCCTGGGTTATAGAGGATGAAGAAATATATTCAGGAGCTCCAATTCTAGTGGGGCAGACAGAAATGTAAAGAATTATTAAAATTTTGCTAACTCCAATAAGGTAAGCTCAAGGTCTGTAGGAACACAGAGAAGGAAGCTGCAGAGAGTATTTGTGTAGGATCAGCCAAATTTTCAAAAGCCCTGAAATGCCAAACTCAATTGAACATTATTTTGGTTATCATTAAGAACGCAACAACATGGAGCAACTTAGGAAGGCTTAGGACAGCACTAGTCTTTCCCAGAATTTTCTGAGGGTCTTACTAAGAGAAACTTCTGAGAATTTCCCTGGCTTGCCCCCATAATTACACTTCAGGTTCAGCTGACATCAAAAATCAGTATAAAATTGAGAGAGTCAGCCATCTCTAAATTGTTTGGAAATACATATCAGAAGATAGGAACCCTTAAACGTTAAAATTTCATGAATGTCAAATTGAGATGCCCTAATTAGTGTAGAGACCTAACTATCTGCGTAACTTAAAAGAATAGTGTTCACTTTGAAGGAGATAATTAAATATATTTAAGATCTGGAAAGAAAGAGCAAGGAAAAGAGTATTGATTTGAATTTTGTGAGTTTTCAAAGGAATTTTCAAGAATCTAAAAATATTTTTGTTCCAAATTAATATTTATTTCCAGTCATTTGATCCTGCAAAAATTACGAGGAAGAAAAGTATTACAACTTATTCTCCAACAACTGGAACTTGTCAAATGAGCCCATTTGCTTCTCCCACAAGCTCTAATGAACAAAAGCACAGAAATGGACCATCAAATGGTTAGTTGAAACTTCTTTTCCACTTATTATAAGATTTTTCTAGTTATTGGTTAAATCAAACTTTTGATTTAATATATGGATCTTGCCACAGCTGATTTTTCTCTTTCTTAAAGAATTCAACATACAAAAGGCTAGAATATAGGTATTACTTTGGACATAAATGTATACTTTCCAGACTTATTTTAAAATGCTACTGCAGACTTTGTTCCCCTACTATCCCATCCATTAAATAGAAATTATGGCCTGACTGCCTTCAGCTACTATCAATTATAATGGTTACAGATACACCCCTTAACAAGCTATCCATCATGTGCATAAATTAAAGGGCACATAATTCAGGTACTGCTGCACTACAGTTTGAGAGTGATACTTCTAAATGTTATTATTACCCATGTTGTGTGTATAATTTTATCCACATTTCAGGTATCTTTATATAACTTGCTTTTATCTATTAATTTCATTTCCTTCTTTTCCTTTATCATTTTAAATGCATTTGTAAAAAGGCTTATAGAATTTCCCATTAGGGAATAACCTCATTTTAATATGAAATTCTTTATTTAAAAATAATAGTAGTTTAATTTTGACCATATTTCTTGTTCTCTGGTAGTTTATTGTTAACATGTTCATTTAAAAGATATAGAAATCTAGATTTCATAGGTTTAATTTTTAATATTGGAAAAAGTCATTAATCAGTGACATGCCAAGTTTCTATAATATAAAATTTTAAGTAGGCTCAAATTTCATAAAGTATATTTTAGATATGCTGTGATTAGCCTAATTTGTATTTTATTGTTTAACATTTATTGAGTGCTAAGAATATAGTAGAAGCCACACAGAAACAAAAAAGTCTCATTTTACCTAATTTACTGTAATGAAACCCTAATGAGATCTTAAACTTTTGAATGACTTTTATTTTACTTTAACCAAGTGCTATTATGTTTGCTTTCACAAAAATGTATGACAATGTATACATTTTCTTTAAGCTCTGTTTTTTTATATATACTTGGTATATATTTTGTTTAAAATTGAAGTTAGTGCCTTAGAGATGGCACTTCTCTATTGAAATGTGAATAGATTTTAAGTAGATATGCACTCAAATACCATATTGAAATTAAATATGGACTTAAAGGAATATTCCTTTTGTCCATAAAAAGATTGGTCATGTGGTCCCAGTTGACATTTAAGTGGATAATTATCACAGATTATAGTACTAAGTAAGTTTTTCTTAAAAAATGTCATATACAAGTAGTGACTCTATAGCATCTTACTTTGCTGATGGACAGTGACTGTAATGGGGTATGTGGTGGGGACTTGATAAGGGGGGGAATCTAGTAACCACAATGTCGCACATGTAATTGTATATTAATGATATACAATCATATAGCAAGGGTTCTTGGGGTGCTGGTAATATTCTATTTCTATTCTTTTCTATATGGTGGGCACACTCATTCACTCTACTCATTAAACTGTACATATGTGTTTTAAATACTCCTTGTATATTTCATGTACAGAAGTCTCAAAATAGAATTCTGTATAGGATCTTATATCAGATTATGTCATTACATTGCTCATCCTAGTAGATCATTTCATACATGTTTTAGAAATAAGAAAGCCTGACTCTTATGAAGTAATTTAAGTTCCAAATGAAATCATAACTTGTCTTAACAGTTATCAGTTGTTAAATATTGTATATAACTTCTATTAACAATTATCAGTTGTTAAATATTGTATAAAATGTAAGGTACAATTTAAATAAGCACTTTTATTTAAATTAATGTTTTCAAGGACATTTTAGATGCTACTCACTTCCCATCACACCTAGGATATAATTCAAAACCTTATCATGACTAAACCTTATCATGACTCTTAAGGCCATATATCATATACTACCTGACTACCTCATCTGCCTCATTTTCCACTACCTTTCCCATATTTGCACTGCTTTACCCACTCTTACTTTCTTGCTATTAGTCAGTCACACTGAGCCCCTTCCCACCACAAGATCATTGCACTTACAGGTCTCTCAACCTGGAATACTCTTGCTCTAGGTGTTTTTGTATACTTTGCATATACATTTGAACCATGTTATAGTAACAAATATCTTAATCTTAAATTTAAATCAATTTTTAGTTATATGTGGAAGAAAATGTAATCCTGTCTTCCCTCTACTTAGACTGTACATGAGCCAAGAAATGGGGTGATTGGTTCCATTTTATACATTTAAGATATACATATATTTACCATCAATATAATTATTATATTTATATGTTTGTATGTGTCATACTGCTATCATCCCCTGCCCCTTAGAAATTTCTCCAAAACCTTTTACTTTTCAGAGGAGCAGATGGATAATAAATTTTCCCCCTTCTTTATTCCCAAGAATGCATCAGACTCTCTATTTAATAACTAGGGTAGAAAGATAAACAACAAATTTGCATACTCAAGGAGAGTACTTGTAAATTAGGCAATAGATCTGTAGAAATCACCCATATTGTAGCAATGTATCAGCATAGAGAGATGGAAAGCATGATAAAGCAGTCAAGAGAAATGGATAAAATAGGAGGCTCCAATATATGTCAAATAGGAGTTCCACAGGATGGAATAGAATGGGGCTGAGACAGTATTCTAAGATATAAGGACTGTCAGTTTTTAATAAGTAAAGACAGGCATTTTCAGATTAGAAAAGCATGCTTAGTCTAAGCAGGATGAATTCAGTCCATATCTAGTGATATTATGGTAAAACTGCAGAATATCAAAGACAGAAAATTTTAAAGGCAGCCAGAGAAAAAAACTATTACCTACAAAGGATAACAGACTAACAGTAGAATTCTCATCTGTTTCGATAGGCTCCAGCAGGAAATGGAGTGAAAATACCAACTAAAAAAACTACAGCTGAGTATTTTTATTCAGAAAGTGAGGTTGCAATATATTTTCAGATAAAATCAGAGAATTTACCATTCACAGATACTCCCCAAAGTATCTGAATACTAAAGAATGTACTTCTGTATGAAAGAAATTGAGCCTCAAGTAAAGGAATGGAGTGACAAGAGCAATGGTGAAAAAACAACTTATCAAAAATGTTGGTAAAGTTATAAATCTGATTACAAAAATGTGATCACAAATTTTGCTGACTATAAAGCAAAAGAGAAACCACTTGAGAAGAGGTTAAAAACCAATAATACACCATAATAGTGTGGAAAATAGATGAGGGAGCAAAAAGGAGTTAAAGTGTTTTAAGGGTCTTGTAATTTTTTTAGAATCAGGTAGGATGTCAATTAACTTCTTAATTGTGTGTTGTTTTTTTACTTGCCTGTAAAATGGGGAAAATAATAATAATCTACCACAGGTTTGTTGTGATATTTAAATGAATTAATATACAGAAAAACGTTTAGAATAGTACCTGGCATAGTGTAAGTGTTCAATAGTTATTTTAGCTATTTTCATTATCATTATTATTTAGACTTTAACAAAAGACAAAGACAATTAAATGCAAAGAATAGAAAAAGAAAACAGAGCAAATATTAGCTTTAAAATGCTAATAGTTGGTATGAGAATATTAATATTAAAGTAGACCAAAATAGACTTCAAAGCAAAAAGGCTTTACTGGAGATAATAAGAATGTTTACATAATGAGAGAAGGAAAGAATCCTGAACCCGTGTGTATCTAAAACAAAAACTCAAGCAAAACTTGGCATAATAGGACAAGATTACAAGGAAACTATAACAAATCCCTAATTATAATAGGAGATTTTTAACTACTTCTTTCAGAACCTGATGAAATGGCTAGAAATTTAGGAAGAACATAGACAATAGAATACAACTAGCAAACTTGTCCAATGAGCTGTGGTCAAACAAGTACAGTATCCAACACGTAAAAAAGTCCAACATAGAGATTTTACAAAAATATAACCAGTTTGGAGCCACAAAGAAATCTCACCATACTAAATTGCTGTCATATTGATCCCATTCTCTGACCAAATTTCATGCAATTAGGAGTCAGTAATAAAAAGGCAGCTCTCAAAATTGTAGCCCATGTGTTTTGAAACCCAGAAATTTCTAATTAACTCATTGATCAGAAAATCATAATGGAAAGTATAAAATGTTTATAATTAACAATAATGAAAACATGTCTGCACTTAGAGGAAAAATTTATAGCTGAATACTACACTATACTAAAATAGTTCTTACTGGGAAATTTATACTTATAAATGCATATATTTGAAAAGGAAGAGTGATAGAAAACTAATGAGTTCAGCTTTCAGCTCAGAAAGATCGAAAAAGAACAATAAAATGAACCCCAAAAAGTAGAAGAAAGGAAATAGTAAAAAATAAAAACAAATTATTAAATAGAAAACAAGGCAATAATGAAGAAAGGAACAAAATCAAAAGCGAGTTCTTTGAAAAGACTAATCAAGCTTACTAGCTTTGTAACCACTAATACTTAGGTAATCATTCTGTGTCTCTATTTCCTCATTTGTAGAATGGGACTAAGAGTGACTACCTCAGAGTAAGAGTAGAGGTAATATATGTAATAGTTAAAACAGTGCCTGGTCCTAAAAGTACTATATAAGTGTTAGCTACCATTATCACCAGTTGTACTTTCTAACATTATAAGTCAGTTAGAGAAAGGACACCCTAGAGCCTCACCAGAAAGTCCAAATAGAATTTTGAGTGTAGTCAAGGTTCAGTGATGGTATATTTGTCACCAGTGTTTTGCCTTTAAAGTGAGTTCAACAACTGTTTTTATATATAACCTAACAAGGGAAAGACCATGTAGAATCCATTGTCCTTTAGCATATATTAATTGCTAATAAAGTGGAGTGAAATTAAAGAAAAGTAATTATTATATAATTGAAAGAATCTTAATGATATATTAGAATCTGTTCAGTAGTATTTGATAACTGATGCAATATTATTCTTGGAGACATTAAGACTCCTATTTAACAGTTGGCAAGTATGTTAAAAACATAAGAACTTCCATGAGATTGAGATTAATGCTA